GGCGACATTAACATGTTCTTATGCACAGTAGAATTGTAAATGAGCTGATTCATCAATGTCATGCTCATAACTGTCTCTGAACTGCAACAGGGAACTGCTGCTTTTTCTTTCCTTATCCTTACTATCGTACCAAAAATATTTAATGTGTCCAGTGCGTTCATATGACTTATACAGTTGCGAGCGCTGTAAAACACTTACTATAAAAAAAAACAACAAAAAGAAAAAAAACTCTTACTGAAACTAAAAGACTATGTTTTAATGTTTGTTACTCTCTTGTAAGTTGTAACACACACCTCTAATCTTCAGCACTTTAACATGACCTAATTGTGTTGCAAGTGCCGTAGAACACTTATTAAAACTATAAAAACATCTTGTTTGTGTTTATTTTACAGGTCATGCCAGGTGACAGGGTATTTGCCCAACGAGGTGATTGGCATGTCTCCCTACTGCTTCATCCTGCAGGACGACCTGGAGCATGTGGCCTACACTCATAACCAAGGTCAGTGACTGAACCATGTTCACAGATTACTGTTGTCATCTTGTGTTAACCCAATGAACCCTGACCTTCTGAGCCCAAAATAAGCAGTCCCCTGGCTTCCAGAGAAAAAAACATGGCTACACACTCCATGAACTGCGTATGCCTCCTTTATTCAAACCAGTTCCTCCTCCCTTGAGCTACCTTGACCTGTACAGTGATTATCACGAACCTACAAGTCGTTTTGATGTCATTTTCCCCCTTTTTATCCTTGTACGGACTATTGTTCTATAGCAGACTAGCACACACAGATAAATCCGTGCTTCAGGGCAGGGGCAAATTAATAACTCGCACACCGATATATCTGTGCGACGGGTTCATTGGGTTAATGATCCCTCATAGCAATGTATCTACGCTAAAATCTCTGTGTAATTTTCTTAGCATAATTCCGAGTCTCACTTCTCTCACTGCTATATTTACTCTTGAAATGCTGTGCATGAAATGTACTTTTGGCTGTACCATTTCCTTTACAAGGGACTCAGGATTTTTTTAAAAATCAGAAGTTAGTTTACAATATATTTTGTCCATTGTGTGAAGAAAGAAATGTAACAAGAAGTAAGTTTTACAGTGCTCAGGAATGCAGTGTAATCATGTATTTTGTCCTTCCTCTTGTATGGTTAGATGTTTAGAGGGGTGCAGTTATCTCATCTCATCTCATTTTATCTTATCGTCTTGGCAGCTTTGGTGAAGGAGTGCAGCTACTGCATGTTTTTAGGGTCCTGTTCAGCCAAGAAAAATTTCCATCTGGAACAATAAAGTATTATCTTATCTCATCTTATCTTATCATATCTTATCTTATCTTACCTTATCTTATCTCATGTTATCGTCTTGGCAGCTCTGGTGAAGGAGTGCAGCTACAGTTGCACCTACCGCATGTACACTCGTAGCCAGGACCTGGTGTACGTCAACACGGCCTGGCAGCTGGCGCGAGACAAGCAGAACAACCGGCCAAAGTTTCTCTTCTCTCTGCACCGGCTCGTGGAGTAAGTGGCTGATGCTGGCTCCCCTGTGTGTGTGT